ATTTTAAAATATATTATCATATCTATCTTATTTCTTCTATTACATCTTTTTTTTGAAAGTGTATGGATATCCTTCTAATAATTTCATTAATTGTTTCTCATTCCAAGACTGTATATGTGGATGCTATTTTGTTTTAGCAATGATTCTTTATCATTAAAGGATGAATTCAAGTGATTTACATATCTGTACATGTTTATTCTTACTATTGCTATATTGTTTTAGACTTTCTTGTATTTTCCCACTTTCTAATAATTTTCCTTGTTGTCTGTTTATTATTAAGTGGACTTTGTTTTTTGTTTGGTTATAGGAGAATGAATTAAGATGTTACGTTGTTTGCTTTTCCTGCATTTTCCTCGAGAATTATAAGCCGGTAACTGGGTCTTTGTATTCCTTGCTTCAGCATAAGTTTGTAACAAGAATGATAAACAAAATTTGCGTCCTATGGGCAGCCTGGCTTTATGTCTTTTGCCTTTCAGGAGAATTAATTTTTGAGGAGTTGTGCAGAAGCAGAAAAGAGAAAAGAGAACAGGAAAAAAAGTGGGAATTGGGAAGCAAGAGGAAGAGAAGATTTATTATATCATGAAAGGAACAGACATTGTTGGATCCTGTAAGAAGCAGAAAATCAAGTTCAGCTTCCTAGAGCAACCAAAAGGAAATAAATAAAATCCCAATATTAGTAATATTGTGGAACACCTAACCAAGCAATCAGGTCAAGAAAAACCAAAGTTCACCTTTTTTCTCTCTCATTTGTGTCTTTAATGTTTAAAAAAACGTTTTGGACTTACATTTTTTAAATAACTATTTATAATTTCCCTTTGGGTATTGAAAATAGATTAACATGTTCTGATTTCCCTTACCCGTTTCTAAACCATTAGCATTCTTTCTTGATACCACCTGAAATTATAAAACCAGATTTTAATTAATTTTTATGTTGTGTCCACTCCTTCCACCAGTAGGTCAAGTATTTACATTAATTTTATTTTTATTTAAAGTTAGATAGATACATATTTCAATGGTGAAAACAGTCACTGCTAGAACCTTTTTATACTAGTGATTTCCATGTTCCAAAATCTTTTGGTTTCTATCTTAGATGCTAAGATTGTCTTCCTATTCACTTCACATAAACAAATTTGGCCTACATATTTTATTTCAACATAATAATATTTCAATCTTCCTTCCTCCTTCAAATATTATTGTTTCTAGTTCTCTTTGGATTTTAGTGTGGCAGAGAATTTATTGCCACAATTTCATTTTTTTTCTACTTACAATGATATTTTCTTTATCCTTAACATAAAATATTTACCAAGCATATATGTAATTATTCGTTTCATTAATTTCACTAAGCTA